ACTACTCCTACCTGCTTTTTTGGTGGGGGAGGAGGCATTCCACAGCAAATGATTTGGGGTTGAATCAAAATGAAATGTGATACTAGTTTTTGTTCTAAAGTATAGAGGACCCATCCCACAACACCCACACTACCGAAATTACACACAACATGACAATTTCTGCCGGGTTGCTTTAAAAACAACCCCCGTTGTCACTTCTTGTTACGGTTACGTCACAACCCCGAGGCAAAGGAACCCCCCGAGGCAAAGGAACCGCATACCCTCTCTCTGGCAGGACTCCTGCCAACGTCCTGCCTGCCTCCGTCTTAGGATGCCTCCATACCATCAGCTACCAGCCACAAGGAACGCCCAAAAGAATGCCAGGTTTGTAATTTCAGAAAGCCCCAGAACCCCACAATGATGTCCCAGGGTAGGGGAGCATGCCAAGCAGGCTGTGCGCAGTCCCATCCTCTCCGCCCCCTTCCCCTGGTCCGGCTGGGGGGGGTCGAAAGGGACCCACTGAGATCCCATCCCGGCTTGTCCCAATCAACCAGCTGCCCCTCCAAGCACAAACCCCTTGGGCTCGCTTCACACCCTCCCCCCGGCAGAGACAAACATGGAAACAGAGCCCAGATAAATGGAAACGGGAGGGTGAGTTTTTCCGTGGTTCTGCAGGGGAACGAGCTGTGTTTTTCTATCAAATTGGACACACACACTCACACACACACACACACGGGTCCCCCACAGGAAAGGGGTATTCCTGCTAACTTGCCGGCAGCACCAACAGCAGCACCAGGGGCACGAGGTCAGTGTGGTGGCCACCCAGTAATCTGGGGTCAGCCGCATGTCCTCTGAGGCTCTCACTCTACTCACACCTCCAGGAAGGAAGTTGTCTGTTTGAAAGGGCTCCCTGGGTAGACATCAGCACAGCTGTGGTCTTCTCTGAGAAATAGTTCGAAGGGTTCCATCGAGAAACATCCAAGCAGGGGTGGGGGCACTTGAATTACAAGCTTCTGCCAGGACCCCCAGAAGCAGGCGTGAATGCACTGCTGAGGCCCGGGGGCGCCCGCCGGGAAGGTGAGAGCCATGTTTAAACCCAGCAGCGTAGCTATCACTGGCCATTCACCAGAGTCAAGTCGTTACTAACAAAGCTAACGCTGTTAAAGTAACTAATATAGACGTCGAATATTAAATAAACTATCAATATCTACACAAGAGTCCTTACTTTTCAACACTCAAGTTGTGACCGTTTCTGGGATGCCTTCAAAGTCCAGTAAGAGTAATTTGTGTGCATTTTTAATAACTGGTTTTGCTCCTTATAAAAATAATACATGTACGTTACAGAAAATTTAGGACATACAAAAGTTTAGTATCATCACCCTGAAGCCCACCACCCAGAAATATACCCTAGATTTCTGTATTTCCCTCCAGTCTTTTTTTCTGTAGACACATTGGTGGGGTACATGTGCTTGTGTGTTTTGTTTGGACAGAGCAATAATTTTGCTGAGGCCTGAATTTCAATTCTGCCCCCTGGGAGTTTCGATTAAACGGGAAGTCCCCGGTCACCCAGAGGCTGCACCTCAGCCAAGCCCTGCTTCCTCGTGGTGTCATGCATGGTGACGCATACGAGGCCATACATGAGTGGATTTTATAGGGGAAATCACATGCTGCTGGGGCATGTGGGTGCCGGGAAAGGTCTCAGAACACATCTCCAGCAAACACCAAGAATCAACTGTTCTTTGGGTGAGTGTTTTTTTCTACCTGGATCACCATGCTATTCTTTTCCATTTGTATCAGAGTGATGTGGAAGCTCATAGGTACCTCATAAATCTTCTGTACTGTTTGCTATACAGAGCAAGGGCCTAGGCACCAAACTCTGTAAACACAGCTGATAACTAGTGTGTTTACTGTGTTCTTTCATATCCCCTCCTCGAACAGGACCTAGTACACAGCAAGATGCTTAATGAAAGATGAATATTAACTGTGACGCTGAAATAATTCCTACAGATCCAAAAGAAAGTGCCGCCAATATAATGGAAAACTACTGAAGTATGTGGAGCTGGTGCAGAGAGAAAGAGAAAAAAAAAAGTCTCTGAGCTGTTTCCACAGTCCAGGGAGCCTGTTCACAGGCAGCCTAGCTCAGCAGCGACACCGTGTGGTGAGAGGTGGTTGATTCCCAACAGCACAGAGTAGCCCGGAGCCTGAAGCAAGCGCAGGCGTGGAATCTACATACAGGGCAGGTGATGAATCTAAGGATGGGCCATGTAGTACAGATGCTGGGATGACAACATCCTCTCCACGTGCCTTAATTCCATGGGGATCTATGAGATCTAGGAAGAAGGCTGCAGGAAAGAAAACCAAATAGAATGTACGACCCAGCTCTCTTCCCAATCTGTCAGCCCCAACTATCTGTAAACGCTGAGCCACCTGCACAGTGACTAGAAGATGCTCCTAGACGTCTCCACCTCAGCATTAGAAGACCCAGAGGAATTATGCAGCTGCCTGCAGAAAGACCAGCAAGGTGTGGATCAGTCTACCTTCACATTCATTTGCATGATAATCCTTTAAAGAATTTGTATTCCAGGAAAACATACTCTAACACCCTGAGTTCTTATATATTTCCTTTAACTGCAGATTCAAAGTCTTCTAGGAGTCGATAAAACTAAGAAATGAAGATATACACAACAACCATAAGCTCACACACTCGGGTTCCTCGGGCTCCCCAAGTAAAAAGGAATTTGGAGAAAAGCAGTCGGGAGAAAAAGCATCCACAGCACAGAGATCCAAGAGCAACCAGACCAATTGGGAGACCCAAAATGAGAAGAGAACGTTTCTGAAAACTGCTCTTTCCCAAACTTATTACGTAAAGAGGGACTTGGTAGCCTTGGAGTCTGCGTGGGGTAGACATACAGAACGTCTGCATACAGACGTCTGCATACAGAACGAATACTTGCTTTAACCTTGTTCAAGCACTTCATTCCCAAGGTTTGTGAATCAGGGTCACCAATCAGTAGGGGAAATGTATCCCCCGCCACACTCAGTTTAAAAGAACAGAAAGGACAAAACCATGACGCATCTACTGGGTGCATTAATATAAGCAGACACGCAATACAAAGCCTCTGCTTAGGTGTTTCAGGTTATACCATCCTTAAGAACCACGGGAAATGCCCAGAGTTCGAACCTTGAGAACACAGCTTCTTCTTCACTGATACATCCAGGAGTCCAGAGGGGCAAGTCCCAAGACCAGTGCAGTCAGAACTCCCAGGAAAGGTCAAGGAGCACTGCCACTGGTCTATCTCACTCGGTGACCTCAGAACAAGCAGGCATTTCCTCACATATCCGGTCTCAGCCCTCGATGACCAGGAAAGGAGGGAGTGAGAAGATTTAGGAGAGTGACAGTCACAACTCCCCCTGGGACCAGTAACCCTTACCTACGAGGTTCTGCCCCATCCCTCCAAAGTGGGAGGGCGATGGGTGGGCCGTCTATAGGAGGGGAAGCTCTGAGGACCCACTTTATTTTAATATAAGTCACAAGTTGGATCTGATGCTTTTTCTTCTATTAACTGACATTTAAAATAGAGACAAAGATGTGGAATTTTGAAGTCCCAAGATAAAGGCACAAAGCAAAGTCATACCATGAATGCCCGAGAGTACCCATTTAAAAGAGTCTGGGGCACCTGGCTGGTTCAGTCAGAAGAGCATGGGACTCTTGATCTTGGGGTTATAAGTTCGAGCCCCATGTTGGGTATAGAGATTATGAAAATAAATAAACTTTTAAAATAATTTTTTTAAATAAAAAAGTTAAAAGAGTACAAACTGGCTAAAAACCACAATGAAAATGAAATAAAAGAATGTTTCTTAAATGGAAAAAAAATCCATTGCAATATCATTCATTTTTAAAATTTAAAACATTACCTGACGTCTTTTTAGACTAGATACCAGGCACTAGGTACATTATACACACGTAACTTATTAAAACTCCAAACTAATAATAATAATATTAATAATTGGACTGTCTTTTAAATAATATAATTTACACAAAATTTTCACATATATTATTTCTTGCAAACCTCATATAATCCTATAAGGTACCCTAATCTTATACGCACATGGAGTTTAGAGCTGTCTTCTCCAAGTGAGCACATCCCATCCAGATAGCCCACAGCTCCGCTCTCCTCCAACAACTAAGTTTGCCAAGGGATAGAGCATAACCCAAAAGGGAGCTCCTTCTCTTTTAAAAATGTTGAGGTAGGAGGTATACTTTGTTCGTTTCAAGGGAAAGCAGGTAAGTTTGGTGTTTAGAGTCACCTGGACCATCAGGCATTTGCTGAAACTGCAGGGTTATATCACCAAACTCACAAATTTCCCTATGTAGGGGAGACAGGAAAAAGACCTCCAAATAACTTGCCACGATCAATAAGAGATTGACAGCTTGGCAAAGCAAAGGAGTTAGTAGGAGGAGACACCCCTAAGAATCTGGCAACCAGCTCAAACCAGGTAACAACCACAGGCAGCAGATGCAGACAGAAGCCCAGGAAAATTCCTGAATACATTCCCAGCTCCACGGGCATTTCCCTTTTAGACACAACTAGAGGATAGAAACTGAACTCAGAGCCCCTTCTGCCACAAGATGGCAGACATCAGCACAAATGAATTTTTCCTGTCCAAAAATTCCCTGAAAAAGGCCCGGATCAAAACAAAGGTCTTTAATCCCAAATGAATAAATTGTGGTTTCCAAATACACTCTTGACACATAAAAGAGTGACCCTCTGCCCCCTAAAGTGGATAGGCCGTGACCTTTAAGATATCACGCCTTCTAAACTCCAACAGTCTTCTCTCCTGCCCTTACCTACAGACACCACAAATATCAGTTATACTTGGATATCTTTAAGACGGTTCCCAAACTTGAAGGCAAAATAAAAACAGAAATCAAAATCAAGACCACTGAGGAAGAACAGGGTCGCCGTCTGGAAGAAAGGCAACCGAGGGGTTGTCCCCTTCCCGCCTGAGCACACACTCACCTCAGTCGCAGGCAGTAAGTAAAGAGGGGTTAAGGCAGGAACGTGTTTGATGTCACAGTTTAGGCCGAGCGTTGTCAGGATCTCCCTAAGGACTTCATATCTTCTAATATTGCTTGATTTGAGCAGATCAAAATCTTCTTGGGCTTGCACCACTGAAGAACTGGGAGGTAGTTCTAAGTGCACCTGCGGGAAAAAGACACTGCTTCGTAAATCGTGAATTGGGAATCCAGGGCACTCGCCGACCTTAGGAGGAACAGTGTCTTTACCAGAGTTTCTGAAAACCTCAACAGAAATCCTTCTGATCTTCAACAGTATGTAAACGTTGCACTTGACCATGTGGAGAGTCACGACAAAGCAATGAAAAGATTCAAAGGAGCCGACTGAAATTTGGGCAGTCGGGTGGAAAGGTGGTGCTGGACACAAGCCTGGATAGTATTCAGACTCTGCCTGGGTCCCGACTTGTATCACTAACCAGTCGGGGGACCTCGGCAAGTTGCTTAACTTGATTACTCGACCAAAACACTTAGAAATAGGATTGTACTGAGAAGCCAACTAAGGTTGCTACTGAACTCCAGGAGGCTCGATGGGTGGTGTGCAAACTCTCACTCCACCTGTAGTCATAACCACCAGGAAACACCACCACGAAGGAGAGGAACCTCATTCACCATTATAAGAGTGTGTGCAGGCATTCAAATAGAAGATGTGGGGTTTGGGGGACCCCGGAAAGGCCCGCCCCACCACCTTCCTTCACCTGGATTGAATTTAAGATTCTGGACTTCTATCTAGTTCAGGCTTTGTTGTCCACGTAAAATTAAAACCCCACCTAGGGGCACCTGGATGGCTCAGTCGGTTAAACGTCTGCCTTTGGCTCAGGTCATGGTCTCGGTTTCTGGGACCAAGCCCCACATCGGTCTCCCTGCTCAGTGGGAGTCTGCTTCTCCCTCTGCCCCTCCCCCTGCTTATGCTCGCTCTAATAAATAAATAAAATCTTTTTTAATAAATAAATAAATAAATAAAACAGCCCCACCAATCAACAAACGGTCTGTGTCTTGGTCTGAAGGAACATGCTAGAACTTCTAGCTCCCTTCAGCTAAAACTTTCCAATCAGTGGTGTGCGCTTTGGTGTAAAGGAACAGACTAGAACTTCTGGTCCTCTTGAGATCAGATTTTAACGGCCATTAGAGCCTTGGAGGGTGCCAGAATATTGAGCAACCTAAGCATGTTTGCTTTATTTTATTTTGCCTTTGCCAGGAATCAGCTGTGGATTTCTGTTGTATGCAGAGCTCCTGACCTGATACTATTAGCAGCATGATAAAAATAAAAAGCCAGGTGCCCACAGCCTTCAGGCAATGTAATATCTCTCAATTCCCACCTAAGACTTAACCAAGTCAAAAATACTGTCCAAATATCCTGTCCAAAGTGGTCCGACCGTGCAGTTGATGCCAGTCTTAAAGGTTTGGAGAGACAGGCCAGCACGGCCCCACGCGAGGGCAGGCCAGCCGAGGGCTGCTCCTGCCGGCCAGGAGGAGTGAGTCCGTCCTCCAAACAGCCGCGGAGAGAGGCAGAGAAGTGAAATCCTTCAAGGTATCTCCTTCTTCCCTGTGTTCTCTCCCTAAATGTGGCCTCTCCTCTCTAGTGGACAAAGGCAGGGGCTCTCCTGGAGGTGACCCCTTACAGGTGGCAGAAATAAAATGAGCGACATTCTCCCCCGACCTGGGCCCAGAGGAGAGGGCGTGAGCATGATGCCTGGCACACATACAGCCCAGGCTGAGTGAATACACAGAAGATCCAAGAAGCACCCGCAGTGGGGTGTGCTGAACTCACAGTCACACATGAGTGAGGCCAAGGAGGAAAAGATGGGCTCACCCCCACGAGCAGGCCTCCAGGGCTCCAGGAGGTAAGAGAGAGAACAGCCACGGACACTGTGCAAGGAGTGCTTTCATGGGCTTTAACAGTAGATGCTTCGACAACGGACGCGGGAAGAGAGACCTCCTCGGTCTCTAAACCTCAATTCACAGGTCAGAGAGCGTGTGCTTCTGGATTTGCGCTCCTGGTCCTCCGTGGGACCCAACACATGTCTCATCCTCTGGCTGTAATACTGTTACCATACTGATGGGTCCATTTCTATACCTTGGCTTCTTCTAAAATTAAGGCTTTTTGACCTAAAACGTCTTCAGTCACAAATGCAGGGGGTGGAGGGCGGTTTGCTACCTGTGCGTAGTATCTAGTGGGTAGCACACAGCTAACACCCTACAGAGCACGGGACGGGACGACGCCACAACAAAGCAGAATCTGCCTGAAATGTCAACAGTGCCGGGGTTGAGAAACCCTGCTCGAAAAGCCAGGCCACACTGCCATGCGCTACGCTAAATAAGGGAATAAAATATTTTTAAGTCCATGGGGGCAACCTCATGCCAAAGTCCTGGTCTATTCGATAATCCAATGTCAGCATTAATCCACAGCCTTAAATTTCCCTTGCAAACCTGACCGTCACAGCAAGCACACAAAAACGTCCTTTTTCCTCGTGATGAGCAGTAAAGGCGTTCACATGCAGTGCCTTGGCTGTGAGACCGCCATCCACTGTGCGGCTGTGGTTTGCCCTTGAAGTGCTCTGCCCCCTCTTACTGGGTTACATCATTACTCGATTTATTAGAGATGAAGACTATGAAACTGACCAGGGTAAGAGGAAACTAACCAGCCCTCGATAATAACATTTATTGGCTGCTCTTGGCGGCAAGGTATTGCAGTGACGCATGTCTGAGCAGAAAGCAGTGACCCTGTCACAGAGACTGGAAGTCATTTAAAATCAAAAATGACATTCTAATCCTCTGAATCTGATTTTTGAAGCTGCATCGTATTGCCTTTTTTTTTCTAGAGCAATGCATGCAGTATCAAATTTTATGACAGTAACGGGGTCAATTTAAATGGTGCAGCAAGCGGAGTTGCCATGTCACTCAGAGAAATGGATTGCAGCAGTGCCGAATCAATTTTCTAGTACAAGTCTGTGCACAGGGGTGGCAAAAGTCACCACTCAAACCTGAAATACAGCTCTAGGAAGTCGGGTTTTTAAGTGGATTTTCTGAGAATACACAGTTGCTATAGTTACCATCTTTGCAGAGAAAAAGATAAGAGGAACATTTATTAGGCCTCCAAACTAATTCTTGTGCTTTGCAACCTACATGAAACCTGCTTGGCTTGTATGCATTCAGCTGTCCTGATGGCCAGATTTTTAAATTATATGCATCTTTGAGCATTATCTTAAGAACAAACGAATGGGCTTTGGAATAGTAAAGAAACAAATTTATGACCCCTTGAAGAATGTTTGTGGTCAGAAAAGCCAAGAGATTTAGCTCCTAGGAGAGCATATGAAATGAAAATAAACGATAAAAAAAAGGAAACGATTCTCCAACTCAACAAAAAGATCCCTGTAATAAAACAAAATCTGTTACACTCATCCTGGGAACTATTCTGGGCAAAATATTCTACATCTACTTAACTTTCTCATGAGATAACAAATCCTTAGGGACAAGAGTTCATCTAACTCTAATAAAAACTTTCTGCCCTGAGGTGTTAAAAGTTTGCAGTCAATGATCAGGAATTTGGAAACCGTCTATCCTGCTTCCATCTGCTTAAACAAACCAAAAAGGAAAAGGAAAAAGAAAGTGAGGGAAAAAAAAAACCACAGATGAGCCAAAGGATTTGGGAAGGGAGCGGGAGGGAAGTATCATGTCCCTTCTCCCTTCTCCCTTCCCTTACCTATATAAAGCTGACCCCTGAACAATGTGGGGGGTGGGGGGGCCAACCTCACCATGCAGTGGAAAATCTGCATATAACTTTCAACTCTCCAAAAACTTAACTCTAACAGCCTAGTGTTGACCAGAAGCCTTACCGATAACATAAACAGTCAAATAACACATATTTTGTATATTACACATATTATATACTCTATCCTTACAATAAAGTAAGCTGCAGAAAAGGAAACTATTACTAAGAAAATCATAAGGAACAGAGAACACATTTACAGTACTATACTGTATTTAGCCAAGAAATTCCACACAAGTGGACCCACGCAGTTCAAAGCCATGTTATTCAAGGGTCAATTGTATTAATGTGCCATAAATCGAAATCGCTTCAAAATTCTATCCGAAATTTTTCTCAGCACTTAGATTTTAAGAGTGACAAAAATCACAAAAGAACTGAGGATTTGAGAAGTTTTCAACACTCACTACCCCAGCAGTTGGTAAGCATTCACGCAATCCCTGATATCAACCACAATGCTGTAATGTGAGGGTTATGAACCCTGAAAATCACCAGCCCAAGGCACTCAACTCCCTATGCGAACTAACAGGTTCGATTATACTGACCACAGCGTGCTTTGAGACAAGAGAGTAGACTAATGTATTTTGGAAAGATGCTTACCAGCATAGAGCAAAACAAGAAAGAATTTTCTGACTCATCTTCAGTTAACCGAAGTCTTTAATCAGCATGACACCTTCTGCTTCGTCCCTCCATCCTGAGTATTTTGGTGAAATGCGATATTCATGCGACAGGAAAGCCCTCATCTAAACCTACTCAGCATCAGCAAAAAAAGTCCCAGCCAAGGATCAGAAGTACCCCACGGAGCTCAGACTCTTGACCCTCTTGGTGTTCAGCCTTAAAGGGCGTACTCTCTGAGAGATCCCCAAAGATCCCCACACGGATAACAGCTCCATACCTGGCAAAGAACAGCTTCTCCTCCACGAGTTCCAAAAGGCACCTGCACTATCAGCCTGTCCTTGTCCCCATTCTCCAGGTGACCCTGCAGCTTGCCCAGGCTGCGGCGCTCCCCAGGGCTTTCCTCAAAAACGTAGCCACTGCTCAGGACGCTGAGCTTCACCTGGGTGTGGTCAGCCTTGGAGAAAACCAAGTTCTGGACGGTTTCCTTGAGCACACTCTTGCTCGTCACCTGGAAGCTAGCAAATGTGAAGGACGAACACAGGCCTAACACTTTCCCTCCCTGAGAAAGGTAGGCCATGAACTTCTGGGAAAGGTCTTCAGGAATAGCCTCCTGGGTGGCAATGACCAACAACAGACAGTTGTCTGACCACGGGTCTCTGAGAGCACTTTCCCTTGACAGGTGGTAGAGCGTATAGCTGTCGGTGTCCACACAGTCTGCCAGAACGGACCGGACCTCCTGGAACCTGCCCAGGGATTTCTGGGGGGCAGAGCCCACGTAGAAGAGGATGTTGGGGGCCTTTCCCGTGATGTTGACTCTCCGCCGTTCTCTCTCCAAGCGGATATCATCAGCAACATCCTCCAAACTGCCACTGTGATCATAGGGAAGATCTGGAATGTTCTCTGCAGATGCAAACTTGACAGATTCAATGGTACTGTTCTCAAGCTCCAGACACTCATGGCAACTAGACAGATGGAGGGGACAGTGCTCGACAGAGCCTACTCCTCTGTCACCCTCCCCGGCAGGCTCACTGCCAAAGGCATCCCCTGTCCCCAGTGTGGGTTGTGCACCAAGAACCTTGGGATCATCTCTACCAATGCACTCCATAATGTCCGGCTCAGGCTTACTCTCAGCGGAAGGTTCAGGATTCTGCTGTAGGGTCTGGGCTTGCTTGTTTGAGGCTTGATCCTCAAGTGCCTTCAGAGTACAGTCCTGCAAGTGCACTGCTAAAACACGAACAGAAAAGACAATCATCAGCCCTTCTGGCCTATCACGCGGCTCAGTTCAAAACCTCATGGCACTCTCCGCACTCCGCCCGCCGGCTCCCACCTGCATCCCTACCGCAAGTCTTCGGCATCCACTGGAACCGGGCACTGCTCCCACCTGCTGGGAGGGTGCGCCCGACCTTCCCGAGAGTGAAATCCCAAATCCCACATTTCCACAACACCTTTGCCTTGGGAATCGGGAAGCCCCAGATCCCCTTATTGGCTGGTGAACAAAGTGGGATTCAGAGAGGTAAATTCTGTGCCCACTTACTTACAGAAGCGATTTCTTGGGTGTCAGTCTCCTATAAGAAAATGAAACTGAGAAACAAAAAAGGCACGTATCTGGTGTACCCAGCATACCCCACGTAGAAGGTGCTCTCGGGACACTTCATAGGATCAATGGGGGAAAAGGGTCTTTCCAGTCTCTTATCTCAGGACTGGAATAGAAGTTTACAATCACTGATTCAAAAAACATTCATGGAGCACTTGCTATGCACCTGACATTGTATTGGGCACATGCACATGCCAAATGGGGAAATTAAATGATTTACAAGGATTTCCAGAGCTGGGAACACTCCTTTGCTCAAGATACAAATGAAGGGGCACCTGGGTGGCTCAGTCGTCTGCCTTCGGCTCAGGTCATGATCCCAGGGTCCTGGGATCGAGCCCCATGTCGGGCTCCCTAATCCGTGGGAAGCCTGCTTCTCCCTCTCCCACTCCCCCTGCTTGTGTTCCCTCTCTCACTGTCTCTCTCTGTCAAATAAATAAAATCTTAAAAAAAAAAAAAAGATACAAATGAAGACTTTCATGGACACAGAAACTCAATTTTTAAAACCTAATTAAGAAAGAACATTTTGCATGTTTCCTGAAAAAAAGATGTATCCCAAAATATTGTGATATATATTTTTTAAGTAAAACACTGTTAGAATTAGAACTTTGTGGTAATACTGGCTATGCTTTCCATCCAGTCGAACTATAGTCTAGAAACTTGTTATATTTTTTTAGATTGTGGGAAACAATTATTATATGGGTTCTACATTTGCACGCCATCTTGTGGATAATGCAATTATGGGAAATCCTTGTTAAAGAATCTTAAAAGCACTGGGGCGCCTGGGTGACTCGGTTGGTTAAGGGTCTGACTCTTGATCTCAGTTCAGGTCTTGATCTCAGGGTCCTGAGTTCAAGCCCCATGTTGGGCCCAGCATGGAGCCCACGTAAAAAGAAATAATTTAAAAAGTACTATCGATATACTTTAGGATAAGCATCTCAAAAAAACCTAACACATGTATTATTCTCATACTGTTACAATTATATCCACCTGTTGACTGCATTAAACTGAAGATAAGCATTTGCCTTAAGCCACACCGAACAAGAGGGTTCAACAGTCCTTAAGCTAATAACCAAGGGTCTCCTGCTATGCTAGAAATATTTTTTTTAAGTTTTTATTTATTTAAGTAATCTCTACACCCAACGTGGGGCTCCAACTCACAACCCAGAGATCACGAGTTGTCTGCTCTTCTGACTGAGCCAGCCAGGTGCCCCTGATGGAAACACTTCTGAGGTCACTTACAAACAATCTTTTGAGGTACCAATCCATCAGCCATCTGGAGTCTATCTTCCATGAACGCCACCCCCAGCTTACTGAAGTCATCCACGCTTGCTTCAGCGATTAATTGATAAGGATCCCCAGGTCTGCAAGCTAATGGCAAACAGCAGTCGGACCACTTCACAATCTGAGAAAACATGGATGAGGGAGGAGGAAGAAAAAGACGGTGAGGTTGTTCTTCTCTAAACTAAGCAGATACTTTTCCCTTCAGCTCCCACCCCTAAGCTACGGTCAAACATAATGAGTTACTGGATATTGCATTTTCTTAACATCAAAGTTGTTCTGGCTCTAACATTCTTGTTTCTACCTGACAACAGGGCTTCCAAAGCACTAAATACAACCCTCTCTTTTATTTATTTTTTATTTAAATTCAATTAGCCAACATATAGTACATCATTTGTTTCAGATGCAGTGTTCAGTAATTCATCAGTTGCGTGTAACACCCAGTGCTCATCACCTCACGTGCCCTCCCTAGTACCCATCACCCTGTTACCCCATCCCTCTCTTTTAAAAGCAAGCAACTGAAGTCTCCACCGCTTTTCAAGGAGCTGAAAGGGGAAAAGGCCATTTTCCAGACATGGAAATACATCAGTGTGCCCTTTAGTAACAGGAAATAGGAGAAAGCAACAGGTCCACAATATCCAGTGATTTATAATGTAACCTGTAGACCAGCTTTGCTCTAGTGCAGTCTGAGACCGAATGCACCAGAACTCCCCAGGCGCGTGTGAGCACTTCCCTTCCTGGGCACTGCACTCTCTGGTGCTCCCGATGCCCTGCAGCCCAGGAATCAGAGAAGTTCTACATGGGGCTCCTCCTTGATTCCTACAACTGGGAAAACAACTGTCAAGGACTGTCCTGTCTGGAGAGCTCCTGCCTATCCCAGCTCAAATACCCACCACAAGGGAAAATGAGCACAGAAAAAACTCAGTCCTTGACACATTCTGGTTTTTCTAAGAGAAGAATGTGAACCCTGGAGGAGGAGAAGGGGAGCCCTGGGCCTGGGGGGTGGGGGGGCAGCAGGGACGCAGGTTAGGAGCCTGGCTCTGGAGTCGAGAACCTGGGCCTGGGTCAAACTGGGTTCATCTTCGCGGTGTGCCCTCGGGCAAGTCTCAGAACCTCTGGAGTCCCAGCTTCCTCATTCATAAAACAGGAACAATGATATGAATATCAGTCATCTTATAGGTTTGTTGTATTAATGAGATTCAAGAGCACACCTGAATCCCGGAAAGCCTGGGACAGCAAAGTACTCAACTGATGAAAGCCACGATTATTAGCTATTATGAATCTGGCTTTACAAGCAAGTAGATAGAGTGGTACTTTTTTAAGATGCCATGAAGAATTTCCCTACTTCCCAAAACAAATCGTCTCAGGGATACACTGCCCCAAATTTCATAATCAGAGATAAATAATTTTGAATTCCATTTTTTATATTGATAGGTTAGGTTTTTAGAACTAATTCTTGCGGAAAACAATGAGAAAGTGCTGGATAACATCAATACAACATCATCTTGAAGGCACTGAAGAAACGACTAAATAATGAAACATACTAGGCCCAATGCTGGGGTAAATCCCGAACCTGCAGAGGGAAGGGGGAATTCCCACAAGCCAAGCCACCTCTGCCTTGAGGGAATTTGCTCACCCAGGAAACGTGGGGTTCAAAAGTCCAAAACTCAAGGTCCAATTGGCATAAGGACAGATCTACAGATCAGTGGAATAGAACTGAGAGCACAGAAATAAACACACAGATAACTGATTTTGGACAAGGTTGCCAAGACAATTCAACAGGGAAAGAACAATTTTTTTCAACAGACGGTGCTGGTACAATGGGATATCTATATGCAAAAGAATGAAAATAGACCCCCTGCCTCATGCCATTTACACCAGGTACAAAAATCAACTCAAACTGGGTCAAATCCTCCATATACGAGCTAAAACTACAAAATTCTTAGAAGAAAACAGGTGTAAATTGTCATGACCTCGGACAAGGCAATGGTTTCACAGATAGGACACCAAAAGTACAAGCAACAAAAGAGAAAAACAGATAAATGGGTCTTCATCAAAATCTTTGTGCTTCAAAGAATAGCTTCAAGGGGCACCTGGGTGGCTCAGTCGTTAAGCGTCTGCCTTCGGCTCAGGTCGTGATCCCAGGGTCCTGGGATCGAGCCCCACATCGGGCTCCCTGCTCGGCGGGAGGCCTGCTTCTCCCTCTCCCACTCCCCCTGCTTGTGTTCCCTCTCTCGCTGTGTCTCTCTCTGTGTCAAATAAATAAATATTAAAAAAAAAAAAAGAATAGCTTCAAGACAGTGGAAAGACAATCCACAAAATGGGAGGAAATATTTGCAAATCACATATCTGATAAAAGACTTGTATCCACAGTGTATAAAAATATAGAAAGAAAGAACTCCTACAACAATAAAGACAAAATACCCAATTTAAAAATGGACAAAGAGTGGGGGGCGCCTGGGTGGCTCAGTCAGTTCAGCGTCTGCCTTCGGCTCAGGTCATGATCTCAGAGTCCTAGGCTTGAGCCCTGCAGCAGGGAGCCTGCTTCTCCCTCTCTCTCTGCCTGAGCCCCCTGCTGATGCGCTCTCTCTCTCTCTCTCAAATAAATGAATAAAATCTTTTTAAAAACGGACAAAGGATCTGAATAGACATTTCTCCAAAGAAAATATACAAATGGCAATAAGCACTTGAAAAGATGCACAACATCCTTGATTAGTCATTAGGGAAACACAAATCAACACCACAATAAGATACTTCACCTCTACTGGGATGGATATAATCAAAAGGATGGATGCTAACAAGTGTTGTTGAGGATGCTGAGAAATCAGAACCCTACTACATTGCTGGTGGAAATATAAAATGGTGCAGCCTCTTTGCAAAAGAGTTTGATAGTTCTTCAAAAATTAAACACAGGGGCACCTGGGGGGCTCGATCGGTTGAGCATCTGACTCTTGGTTTTGGCTCATGTCATGATCTCAGGGTCATGGGATCAAGCCCCATGTTGGGCTCTGTGCTCTCAGCATGGAGTCTGCTGGTTCCTCTCCCTCTGCTCCTACCCCACCCCTGCTCACGCTCTATTTCTAAAATAAATAAATAAAATCTTAAAAAAAAAAAAAAGTTAAACACAGAATTACCAAATGACCCAGCAACTGCACTCCTAGGCATATAACTAAAAAACTAAAAATATATGTACACACACAAAAGTTGTATATAGATGTTCATAGCAGCATTATTCATAATAACCAAGGAGTGGAAACAACCCAAAAGTCTATCAACAGATGAAGGGATTAAAAACATGTATATATCCATACAATGGAGTATTTTTCAGCTGTGAAAAAGAGTGAAATACTGATTCATGTCACAACGCAGATGATCTTGAATACATTATGCTAAGTGAAGGAAACCAAGAAAGAAAGGTCATATATTACATGATTCTACTTATATGAAATATCAAAAACAGACAAATCTAAAGAGGTAGCGAGTAGATTAGCAGTTGCCAGGCCAGGGAGTAGGGGAGTGGAAAGTGGTCACTGATGAATACGTGTTTCTTTTGGGGGCAATGAAAATGGCATTAGGTAGTGGTGACTGCATAACCACTGAATTGTAATTGGATCCTTCAAAAGGATGAGGTTTATGGTATATGAATTATAGGTCAATTTTAAAAAGGGAAAAGAAAAGAATCAAGGCATTTTGCTTATTCCCACACTGCACCAGGACAGCCTAGACAGTGGGAGGACTCCAGAGCCCAACTCCCTGAATTGAGCCCCGGCTCCTCTGGCCAATAGCTGAGGGACCCAAGCAAGTCACTCAAATTCCCTATGCTTGCGTTTCCCATCTGTAACGTGGAAATGGCAAGATTACCCACCTCACAAGGTTACTTGGGAGAGCCAAATGGGAGTGATGCGCAAAATGCCTGATCCACAGAGGGGCACTTACTATTCTAAACATGTCCTCAAAGCAGGTATTCTCAGTGGGGACCGTATCACCCCTGAGCGGGCAAAAACTGGTTTGAGGGTGAGGGAGGGGGCTTGGGGGGGGGAGATGAAAAAAGTTCTAGGTATCACAAGGGTTTGTGGCCCTTCAAGGGTGAACCCAACCCCACAAAATCTTATTCCTTACGATCTCATTCCTCTCCTGAGACAGAATTCAAATTGAATCTAATGTTCCTCATTCAAGAAGCCATTTAAAAAGCTGGGAAACACTCAATAATTGCAAGTCTTTATGGTCAAAAGGTTGAAACCCACTAATGGGTCTAGAATATTTGGAGAAAGAGAACCCTCGTAATTTTCTTTTAGCTCTACGGGGAGCCTTCCCTCCACCTGATCACTGACTTCTCCACCTCCCTCCAGACAGGCAGCCAGAGTGAGCCGGATTCCCCTGACCAGCATTTCAGTGGGACTCCGCATTTCACATCCAAAACCTCTGATCCAGGATGAGAACAGAGGCTGACAATTCGCACAGATATTTAGCTGATTCCAGCTTTGAGAATGGAGGAAGGATGTCAGCTCAGGAGGATGAGAAGATAAACTCTGGCCTCGGCAGGCAAGAGCTGACTTTGCAGAGGAGGGTGAACGGGAAACGTGCAAAGGAACAGTGCAACCGACCTCCCACACGAAGCTAACAGCATCTTTGTCCTCGGGGCTATTGCTGGCAATGCACGCATGAGGAGAAATACTCAGCCAGGGGAGACCCAGCCCCGAGTTCAGTTGTTCAAACGCTGATTTAGCACCCTGCTGGAGAGGGCACGGGTGTGGAGCAAGGCCTCAGAGTAAGCATTTAGTGTAAAAGGAACCAATACTTAAATTCTCAGACAGCCCTAAAGGAGGAGAGATAAACGAAGCATGGGGAAGGACAGGAAGTGGCCAGGGAACAATACACACACACCCCTGATCAGGTTTCTCCACTCAGCCAGCTGTTCCCTCACCTAAGTGCATTTCCTCTTTGTAGATATGGGGTCCATGAGCCACAGACCATGCAAACTCCCCAAGCTGCGCTGTGTCCTCCATCAAAGCAAAGCCAGGCTGTCACCCATGCATCCAGCGGTGTTTGTCTCAAAGCAAACAGGGTGCTTCCAGTTTGCACATCAGGGTGGAAACAAAGGGATGGAGATAGAAAGGGGAAGTC